TCCACAGAAGTGAAGGGTGATGCTGTGGAAAGCAGAGACCCCTGCAGACACTCAGTCACCACCCTGTTACTATCCTCAACCTTAATGTTTGCCCATACGAGTGGCAGATCCGTTGAACCTATCCTCCCTCCTTCTTCAGAGGATTTAAGGTACAGAATGGGCAGGGAACAGAGACACGGATGTTGGCTGTGAAGGCAAGCTTTGTCCTAATGTCATAAGATTCATCATACTGCCTTGGAATTAAAACATGAACAGCAAACTGGTCAGGGAGTAGCAAAGCAGTGATGCCTGCTGTCTCAGTATGTGTTTCTCAAGCATCTGCTTCCCTCTGGATTCTCTGATGTCTAACAAGGCTCACACTGGGGTTACTCCTTCTCCTTCCAGCTGCCTGTTTGCATGAAAGGAATGTAATGTCTCTAATACTTCTACCTTACTGTCAAATTTTGCTGCAACTGGCTGAAGTTACCAGGCAGGAGTGATGGACAGACATATGATTATGCTCCCAAATGCTGACGTGAACAAATGAACCTGGCCCTTTATCCTTAGGCTAAAATTCCTGTTCTTTAAAATACTCCTGGCTGATGTCTGGTTTACAGCTTCTCATCCAAAAATAAATGATTCCAGAGGGAAGCAACTGAATGGAAGCCACAGAGCAAATGTCTTTCCACTCTGGATTTGCTAGGGCACTGGGGAAGGATGCTTGCAGCATTAGACAGACAGCAATGTGTTCAGGACTCAGAGCTGGAAGAGATGAGAAAGCTAACTCTTTCAAACGTCTCTCTAAGTCCAGAGGGATGCTGCTTTTTCTCCGAAAGTCCTGCTGGCATGCTACATTAGCTGTGGTTGATAACAGAAGGTCAGAGCTGCAGCAGGAGGGTGTCCAAGTAACCTCCGAGTAGTGAAGATGGAAGCTCCAGTGGGAAGCACAGAGAAAGGCAGAGTTACACTGACACTGGGTGTCCAGAAATAACATGGACTATTAGAATAATAAACATATAGTTGGGTTAGAGACTAGACATTGTAGAAACAGAAGGGATCTGATCTGGAAGCTGCTTGATATTGACTGGATCTGCCTTTCAATGGGAAAAGTGTCAATGGCCCGTCCCACACCAAGAACTACAGGACTGACAACTGAGTTGAAGGCAAAGGCTGAGGGCAGAGGAGGCCCTTTTCTTCTTTGCACCAACACTAACATTTTCCTGGAGAAACATGAGATGGCGCATTCTCCATTTTGGTTAGGACTGACAGCACTGGAAGGAAGAGAATGAAAATCCAGTATTGCCCCCTGATGATCACACTGAGACACTGGCTTGTGGTAACAGATAACACATGGAGGCAGGGTGAAGGGTATTGGAGACCAGCGCCTTGGAGTATACAGGGCTTTTGCAAAGCATTGCCTGGTGTGCCAGCTTCCTGCCATCACATCATGTTCAGGCTGGGGCTGTGACTGCCCTGCAGCCTCCACTTGCAGGGTACCTACATCCTACAGGAAAACGTTTCATTTAGAGTAGAAAAACAGAAGAAGGGGAACTTCCTTCTCTAGAACAGCTGACAGATGCTACCAAGGTGCAGGCCAAGAAGCAAAAGGTGGTTTTCCCTTCCTTTCTTGGAGTAAACTAAATAAGCTGAAACATCCATCAACAACGGGCCTGGGAAAGGGGCAGTCAGAAGTGGGAGAGGCACTTAATCAAAATGATTATGATTAGCAACACAGCACCAGAACATGTCTTGGGATTCACCATTCATTTCCAGTTCTGCCACTTACCTACTGTGTGACCTCCAGCAACTCCGTTAGTTTCTCTTTGACACGTCCTTTCTTGCTCTTTTCCTGTCTTATCTACTAGATCACAAGCTGTACTTTTCCCTTCAGGCACTACCTCACAGACTAAACTTGTTTCAACATGTCCTGATTCAGCATGGGGCTTCCTGTGATTGCTGCCAGGCGTATGAGAGAACTATGCAGTAACAGGGACCTCACTTTCAATATATTGATGTCTTGCAACCAGCCACAAGCTTGCAGGCTGTGTCTCTGCTTAGTTCAAATCAAAACACACCATCTGTAAAATGGGCTCTGAAACACCTACCTGCCTACAGGGAGTTGAGGAAGGCTCAAACACAAGCTCATCCTACAAAGGGTGCTATAGCAGCTGAAAGCGCCATTAGCAGTGAGGCTGCTCTTCACGTTCAGAATGAAACCCCATAAATCTCCTTCTGGTTGGGAGCAGCTGCTTGGCTGGTTAATGTGTGAAGCCACTTTACCACATGTGGCTGACAAAATTCAGAATGGGCACAATGACAGCACACCATGCTGCCACACGCATGTGTACACCACAGCCCAGGGCCAACAAGGGGAAAGGGAGCAGATCCTCTTCTCCATTTCTAGCATGTTGCTGCTCCAGTCACTGGTTGGCAGTTTTCCAGATGGAGTGAAGGAACCGATTTTACTCTGACTCCTATGAAAAGCAATTCTAATCCCTTTGCACAAGAAGTAAATGCAGAATCTTATGATCACCATCAGAGGGGCCCTGCCTCCAGCCACGTGGAGGAGAGGAACAACCAGGTTTACTGGACTGTGTGGATCAGATGGGCTTGCACGTCAGTTCCACAGGAGTAAAAGGCTCTATTAGACACTGGTGCACAGTGCACCCTGATGCCATCGAAGGGCAGAACCCACTTGTATTTCTGGAGTGACAGGAGGATCCCAACAGCTGCCTGCACTGGAAGCTGAAATCAGCCTAACTGGGAAGGACTGGGAGAAGCTCCCCATTGTGACTGGCCCAGAGGCTCCATGCGTTCTTGGCATAGACTATCTCAGGAGAGGGTACTTCAAAAACCCAAAAGGCTACTGGTGGGCTTTTGGTAGAGCTGCCTTGGAGACAGAGGAAATTAAGCAGCTGTCCAGCTTGCCTGGTCTCTCAGAGGATCCTTCTGTAGTGGGGTTGCTGAAGGTCAAAGAACAGCAAGTGCCAATCATGACCACAGCAGTGCACTGGCAGCAACACTGCACCAACAGAGACTCCCTGATTCCCATCCATAAACTGATCCATAGACTGGAGAGCCAAGGGGTGATCAGCAGGACCCGCTCACTCATATGGTCTGTGTGAAACTCTAATGGAGAGCACAGACTATCGTGGCCTGAATGAAGTCACACCACCATTGAGTGCTGCTGTACCAGACATGCTAGAACTTCAGTATGAACTGGAGTCAAAGGCAGCCAGGTGGGATGCCGCAACTGATATTGCCAATGCATTTTTCTGCATCCCTTTGGCAGCAGAGTGCAGGCCACAGTTCGCTTTTACTTGGAGGGGTGTCCAATACACTTGGAACCGACTGCCCCAGGGGTGGAAACACAGCCCTGCCATCTGCCATGGGTTGGTCCAGACTGCACTGGAACAGGGGCAGGCTCCAGAACACCTGCAATACATTGATGACATCGTGCAGGGCAAAGTTTTCCAGAAAGGGAAGAAAATAACCCAAATCCTTCTGAAGGCCGTTTTTGCCATAGAACAGAGTAAAGGTCAAGGGACCGGCACAGGAGGTCCAGTTTTGGAGAATAAAGTATCAAGACGGACACCATCAGATTCCCACAGATGTGATCAACAAGATAACAGCAATGTCTCCACCAACTAATAAGAAAGAAACACAAACTTTCTTAGGTGGTGTGGGTTTTTGGAGAATGCACACCCCAAATTACAGTCTGGTTGTACCAGCAGGTTGTGCTGATGTCCAGAGAGACTTGGACTTGCTAGAAAAACGCACAGCCAGGAAACTCCCTGGAAGTAATAACCCCACATATCAGTGCATGCTGGGGCTGACCAGCTGGAAAGCAGCTTGGCAGAGAAAGACCTGTTAATCATGGTGGTACACCAAGCTGAAGTCTGCAATGCACCCTTGTGGCATGGATCACCAACAGCATCCTGGGCTGCACGTAGGAGAAGCGTTTCCAGCAGGTAGAGAAGTGATTCTTCTCTGCTCAGTACTGGTGAGACACATCATGAGTGCTTGGTCCAGTTCTGGGCTCCTCAATAGAAGGAAGATATGGACTTCCTGGAGCGAGTCCAGTGAAGGCCCACAAGGATGATTTAAGTGACTGCAGCATCTGACATACAAAGAGAGGCTGAATGAGCTGGGAGTGCTCAGCCTGAAGAAGATTCAGGGGATCATATCAGTTATGTAGCTTCCATCCTCGGAAGTATTCAAGACCCAGCTGAACATGGTCCTAAGCATCCTGCTTTAGCTGACCCTGCTTTGAGCAGAGGTTTGGGGACTACACGATCCCTGGAGGTACTTGCCAACCTCAACAATTCTGTCATTCTCCAGTCTTCTAACTTTGCATTGACCTAGTGATTGTAATCGTATTTTTCCTCTGTCCTACATGGCTGTCTGAGTGGTGTCCAGCTAACAGCAACAGTGACTTCCCTCCAGGACTTCATGGCATCTCCTGCTCTTCCTCCTCTGAAGGGAGCTAGCAACTTTTGCGGTGGAACTCTTATCATCTGGGAAGTAAGGACGGTTTCAGTGGTGTTGGGTAGTTTTTCTCAAACAGGAAAGCTCTGCAGTGTTTCCTGATGTTTATCATGATCTGAATCCAGCTATTTAACAGCTTCCTTCACCTTCCAGTTTAGTAATGCTAGAATTTTCCTTACCCAACACCCTACAGGTCTGCTCTGACCTTTCCACCTCTGTGTTTATCCCCTCTGGCTTATTAGAAACATGATCATTCTCCTTATTTGGAATATGTTCAATTGAATGAAAATGTAGTATACTTTAGCAAGTTAGCTTATTTAAGGCGGAAATGGAAGTACTTTGTCCTCCAAAGGATGCGGAATGTCGACTGACAATTAATTGCTACTTGTCCCAAATCATAAAAGAGCAAAACTATTTGTTTCTTCAAATCCAATACACAGAATTTTTGACCTTTTCCCCCCTGAATAGATCTGGTTTATAGATAAGTAAATAAATATGAAAGAAAGAATCATGTGAACAAATGTAGGACTTACGTATGATCCATAATTCACCACTAGGGTCTGCAAAGCCCATGGGAGGCCTAGGCCAATTAAAATATCAAACACATTGCTTCCAATGGAGTTGGACACAGCCATATCACCCATACCTGCAGGAATGGAAACCACGTTCAGTCAGACAGGCCCCAGAAAAGTGTTTCAGCTTTTAAAAAGAAATACATTCACCTGAGCTAATTGAGACAATTTCCACAGATTAAGGCAAAGAGTCAAGGGAGATCAAACCTCACCCCCCACCCCTTCCCTTTCCCCTTTGCCCTCCCCATCATACAAGTCCAATGGGGTTGAAGGGGTTGGATCAGTCTTCAAGATCATCTGAGAATGTCCTTCAGCTAATCCTCTGCTGCCGTGGGGACCCTGGCCACTGGCTGTGCCAGCTGCGACCTGCCAGCACTCTGGTGCCATGCTCAGTGCGCTCCTGATGCTTTATTGTAACCATGGGACACGAGTCTCTACACTGGACTGAGCAGATTAGGTCTTCGGGTAGTCTATTATGTAGCTGGTTGTTTCAAGGAAGAGCCACTGGTTTTGTTCCCCACAGCAGAACTGACTACTTTCTATTTCTCTTAAAACATCTGGTGCTGGAGTCACAGGGATGGGAGAAGCTTTCCTTAAAAACAGTGTTATCTTCCAGTCCTTATGACCACGGAGAAAAGCTGGAAAGTGACCTTGAATGACCCTTATGCCATAGAATCATAGAATAGTTATCATAGAACAGTTTGGGTTGGAAAGGACCTTAAGATCATTTAGTTCCAATCCCCTTGCCATGGGCAGGGACACGTTGCACTAGACCATGTCGCCAAAGGCTCTGTCCAACATGGCCTTGAACACCTCCAGGGTTGGAGCATTCACAACTTCCTTGGCCAACCCATTCCAGTGCCTCACCACCCTCACTGTAAAGAACTTCTTCCTTAGATCTAACCTAAACTTCCCCTGTTTAAGTTTGAAGCCATTACCCTTTGTTCTATCACTACAGTCCCTAGCGAAGAGTCCCTCCCCAGCATCCTTATAGGCCCCCTTCAGATACTGGAAGCTGCTCTGAGTTCTCCATGCAGCTTCTCTTTCCAGGCTGAAGAGCCCCAACATTCTCAGCCTGTCTTCATATAGGAGCTGCTCCAGCCCCTGATCATCCTCGTGGCCTCCTCTGGACTTGCTCCAACAGCTCCATGTCCTTTTCATGTTGAGGACACCAGAACTGCACACAGTGCTGCAAGTGAGGTCTCACAGAGCAGAGTAGAGGGGCAGGATCACCTCCTTCAACCTGCTGGTCACACTGCTTTTGATGCAGCCCAGGATATGGTTGGTTTCTGGGCTGAAGCGAACACTGAAGCCGGCTCATATTAAGTTTCTCATCAACCCTATGCTATGAGGTCTCCACGCAGTTCTAAACAATTCTGTATGGACAGTATTTAAATGAAGAAACACATTGTGACTTTTAGGGAAGGCCTGAAGTTGACAATACTACTAGAACTTGTTCCATGCCGTCATTAAGAACCTGTTAGCTGCTTTTCAACAACTTATGAAGACAGGCTGAGAAAGTTGGGGCTGTTCAGCCTGGAGAAGAGAAGACTGTGTGGAGAACTCAGAGCAGCCTTCCAGTATCTGAAGGGGGCCTATAAGGATGCTGGGGAGGGACTCTTCGTTAGGGACTCTTGTGGTAGGACAAGGGGTAATGGCTTTAAACTTAAACAGGGGAAGTTTAGATTTAGATCTAAGGAAGAAGTTCTTCACAGTGAGGGTGGTGAGGCACTGGAATGGGTTGCCCAAGGAAGTTGTGAATGCTCCAACCCTGGTGGTGTTCAAGGCCAGGTTGGACAGAGCCTTGGGCGACACAGTTTAGTGTGTGGTGTCCCTGCTCATGGCAGGGGGGTTGGAACTAGATGATCTTAAGGTCCTTTCCAACCCAAACTGTTCTATGATAACTAACCATTTCCTTATTTGTTCTTGTTTTAAATTTCAGCGTCAAGGAAAGGGTTCTGTATGTTATCACATTCAGGACACATCTGTGCTGCCTAAAGAGGAAGAGGACACAAGGAAACACTTCCATAGCAGTATGACATCTCTGTGATGAACCTACCTTGCCTTGCTACGATAAGGCTTGCCATGCAGTCTGGCACACTGGTTCCAGCTGCCAAGAAAGTGATGCCCATGATCACATCTGGAATTCCCAGTGTGTAGCCAATGATTGTCACCTAAGGAGAGGAAATACACTGAAGCTGTTTACAAGAACTGAAATCAGAGACCAGGCTGGCCAAATTCCTAGTGGGAGAGAGGACATACATTTAATTTCCTCTTTCCTTTGCTACGCAGTCTATGATAAATGGCTGCTTTTCAAAATGATTAATATTTTTAAATTTGGATGCCCATTTTCTATTAGCCACATTTAATTGCTCTTCTCAGCTCTCCACAGCACGCTCCAAGAAATGTGAACCATATGTTAGAAGCAGCACAGTGACACTGTGGGCTCTGGTATTTCAGCTATGGAAAGCTGGGATAGCTTTTTTCTTTAAAAACACCTCATCCTTGCAGATGAAGAGCAGAAGAAAACCAGTAACTTTCTATTTCCTTGTCAGGGTAACATGGATTATTGGAAACAAACCAGAAACACCTTTTCTAAAACTGCTTTGATTAGTTTGCAGGGAAAAAACTGGCATTTATTTTTGCATTTAGGACAAGATTGAACTTTGAAGGCAGTGAAAAAATCTTCACTGCCTTCACCTTCCCAGCAGGAAAGCAGTGGCCAGGGCTTTAGTGAGGCATCTCTATGCTTTTTGAATTCCATGCAGAGACAGACCATGAATCGTGCAAGTGCAGCAGCACTCCATCACAAGTGAAGCAACACAAAACCAGGCTTTCCATGCTGGACTCTCCTGGTGCCAATGCCCCATCGTTGTCCAATTCTGCTTAAGAGTAGAGACTGCTCTAAAAGAAACATAATCCATGGTGCAGTATTACTGTAATCCTAATGAGGACAAGTTACACTTTTCACCTACATGTATCACTGTCGTGGTTCAAGCCCAGCCAGCAACTTGGAACCACGCAGCCGCTCGCCCACTCCCCCCCTTTTCCTTCCTCACCCCGCTCCCCCCCGCTCCCAGAGGGATGAGGAGGAGAATCAGAGGAACGTAACTCCCACGGGTTGAGATAACAGCTCTCCAGTAACTAAGGTATAATACAAACCACTACTGCTACCAATAATAATGATAAGAGGAATAACAAGGGGAGAGGACACAACTGCTCACCACCCGCCGACCGATACCCAGCCTGACCCAAGCAGCGATCTGGGCCTCCTGGGTGACTCCCCCCAGTTTCTATACTGGACATGACGTGCTGTGGTATGGAATAGCCCTTTGGCCAGTTTGGGTCAGGTGTCCTGTCTCTGCTTCCTCCCGGCTTCCCCTCCTCCCTGGCAAAGCATGAGACTGAGAAAGTCCTTGGTCAGAGTAAACATTACTTAGCAACAACTGAAACCATCGGTGTTATCAGTGTTGTTCCCAGGCTGAAAGTCAAAAACACAGCACTGCACCAGCTACTAAGAAGGAGAAAAAATGACTGCTGTAGCTGAACCCAGGACAATCATGTAACAAGGCCTGCAGCAATAAGCAAGCTAACAGGCTCAGTGACCCAGCCAGTGCATGAACTCCGCTGTGAACAGGTCAACTATGCTTGGATTTCCTTGTGTTCATTTTTATTTATCCCCTTCCACCTTAAGGATAGTGAAGTAGAATTCAGTTCCTGTTGACTAGAGCAGTTGTGCAAGAATTTGGCTGAATGCGATGCTTTTGTTCAAAACACTTGTTTTGTTTGAGTTCAGTGTTACCATTCACAACTCTGTCTCTCAAGCTTGCTTGCTCCAAGAAAACAAAGAGCTATTGACGCCAGATTCTTAGTTGCATCAGGGCCTCTTTACACTGCCCTGTACAATAAGGAGGTGTTAAACTGGTGCAAGTGTAATATTTGACCATGTTAAAGAATCTGTGTGAAATTCCAGCCCTGAATAAAGTTCAAAGGTTATGGCTACTGGCCCCTAATTTTATTCGCTGAGAGTGGAGTGGTCTAATAGAAGCTGAAGCAGACTTAAGGTTTCTTATCTAAAAAATCAGGTATGTAGAACTTTCTACACATTTCTCTAAGCTGACAAAACCACCTTCTGTTGCCTCTCCCAGGCTGTGGTTTCTGCTGTAGTTGGTACATACCATCCACACCATCATGTATGAGAAAGCTGCAATCCAGAGTGTAGAAGAAGCAAAGGTAACCATGAACCATTTTTCCAAGTGGGGTTTGTTGCAGTTGGGCACTGTGAAGTACAGGACAAAACTCAATGGCCATGTGAAGAGCCACTTCAAAATTTCTATCTTGCCAGCTGTAAAACATAAAAAGGGAAACAATCACAATACCAGTCTGTTTTAGTCCAGAATGTTATTATGTTGTCAACATTAACAAGCAAGATGCCGGGGACACCTCAACCTAACTGCCATCCAAACAGAACATGACAGGACATTGCTTGTTCAGAAGATCATGGTGTGATGGCAGAGATGAGAGGACAGAGAGAGGCACAAGGAAGGAGTGTGAAGTGCCTCTCTCACAGCAATGGGTCAGAGCACATCTACTACCATCCCTGGGTCAAGTTCTTACAGGTACCACATAAAAATAAGTTCTAGAAAGAGAACTGACCCATCTTCAACCACCTAAGATGGAGCCAGGCCCTTCACAGAAATGCACAAGGAAATTGCCAATTGCAGTAAGGGAAATTCAGAATAGATGTTACTGTAAATTGTGCATTCTTTTTTCCTTTCATGAGTGTGGTCAAACCCTGAACAGGTATCTGAAAAGACTCTGGATCTCCACCCTTACAGATAATCAAAACTCAACTGGACACAGCCTTGGGCAACCTCCTCTGAGCAGGGAGGAGATTTCCAGAGGCCCATGACAACCGAAATTTCCCATACTATGAATCCAGTGTCCACTGTCTTCAAGTCTCAGTTTTTTTCCTTACTCAAACTACAGCTATGCTGTTTGAGTGAGGAGATCTGAACAGTAGTTCCCAAAAACTATCTCACCTGTAAAGGGCAGGACCAGTCCCTACAGTATTCTGCAACACAGCAGATCTTGCCAGCTCTGGCAACTGTGAGTCCAAGGTAGGGCAGGGATACATTATAATCACTGACGGGGTAAGAGGGACTTGGCAAAAGGAGATGTCCATCCTGCTGGTGCAGTGCTCAGCAACCTGAAGCACACGTGGTTATTCACAAGTCACGAAGCTGTTCTGACTTTCTAAGCCCTCCAGAAAGAGTGAGAAGACATTGGGCAAGCTTATTTAACAGCAGGAAGCAGAGGCGCCCAGGACCTTCTTCTGTCTCTGCTCCATACCAGCACCACCACTGCTCTGGCTCCATTAGCACTGCACCTTACCACTGAGGTAAGATCACTCCTCATTTCCCAGCGATGGCCCAAATGCAGATGCATCTGACCTGCATTCAAGCACCTTGCCAGCAGCCCCACCATCCTCAGCTGACCCAGGTTTTGGGGGCAGGAACCAACCCGTGGAAATTGCCTCTCCCCTCTGACTGCAGCAGCAGTGCCAGGCCAACGCAGCAGAGGTGTGTCCAAGCCCAGCAGTCTGCATCCTGAGAAGTTTCTGCTGCTCCTCACTTCCTCCCATCTTTTACCTGTGACCAGGAATTACAGTGTGAGGTGCAGGCTGATGGGAGCTCTCTGAGAGAATTCTGCCTCAACACACATCCATGATGCTTTCTGGCAAACCCAAATCAAGTTTTGCTTTCTGGAACAACACAAACCCGGAAGCTTCTTACTGGGTAGGTCAAAAGGTGTATATGGCCCTTCATGGTCATCATCATCGTCATCTTCTTCCTCTTCCTCATCGTTTTCATTGTTCTCGTTATCCTCATTCTCGTTCTCAGTCTCGTTCCCAGCCTCAGCCATGTCTTCATCCCGCCGTGTGCCATTCACGCCCCGCTCAGCAGAGTTGCTGGGACCTGTTCCATTCTCGACAACATGCTTGACAGGTATTTTGATTGCTACCTCTGACTCACCATTGGTGTAAGTCCTGCTGTTGATCAGCCTTTGTCTCTGTAAACACAGGCACAAACTCTTGCTGAAAACCAGATTTTTTTTTTACATTTAAAGCACTGGTTGCTTGCAGATGACCAGATAAATCTCACCTATACAACTTTTATAGGAGAAGGGACAGTGGCTGTAGAATTGACTTCAGGAGTACTCCAAGACCAGGGGCAGACTAAGCGCAGACTCAGTGGAGTACCATATTATTAAATAAGTGCAAGTGGTATTAATGCCAGATCAATGCAGGGTATACCTCCTGTGAGCAACAGCCACAGGTAACATAACCATGAAATGCCTTGAAACGTTCTCTGTTAAAATCTCCATGTGGACAGAGAGCAAGGAATGATGTAGTAAATAATGCAAATGATTAGTGTCAGAAGGATAAAAACTGGGAAAATTCTAGCAAGGACCCAGAATAAACATCAGAGTTCCATTTTGACCTAAACACTGCTACAGGAAAAGGCAAATTCAGAAGGAGAAGGGGGGAGAGAAAAGACATACCTCATTGATCAACATGCGGCTGGCCATGGAGAGACGTGTTTTGGGAGGGAAGTGGCTGGTTATCATGATCCGGAGCCCAGCCTCAGAAAACGAAAGCTGGTGTGGGTAGGCAGACAGCAGCTCATCCACCATGATCACTGACGCTTTACGGTGGAAGTTTCCTGCAGCCAAGGAACAAAGAGAAATTAAGGTGGTCTTCTAGCAGTCTCCCTCTCTGCCCTGTGTGGCTCTCAGAAGAATAAATCTGGCATACCCAGGAACCTGGGTTCCACAGGTCCTTTGTAAGAACCACTCCTTTAGCTACCACCACCCAAAACATGCCTCCCCTGTCAAATGACCAACATGGTATCTCCACTCATGCTCATTGCAGAGAACTAAATCTGCTCTGCACAGCCCATCACAGGCCTGCGTTAGGCAGATTGCCGCTTCCACAGCAGCTACTCCACCAAGGTAGAAATGGTGCTGCAGAAAAGCTGCATTGATTCCATTGTTACAATCTGCACTTGTGTGAGGACACTGGCCCCACCCACCATTAAACTGTACACAGGGGTGAGGAAATAGCCCGTGTCACTGTGGGGTACTAATGCAAATGAAAAGCAGGTTCCTGCATCCTGGGCTCGCAGCTCATGGCTGGGAAGTGCCATCAAACCCGGCAGCAAGTGCATGTGGCAGTCCTTGGGGTGTGACCCATAGCGCAGGAGCAAAGGAACAAGGAGACAGGGCACGCTACCGGGACTGAGCTCCAGCTGGGACACAGTGCCAGCGTCCATCTCGTCCGTGCACAGATGCTACCTCAGACTGTGAACTCTGGGCCAGGACTGGGACTTGGCAGCAGGGAAACCAGAGGCCTTTCCTGACTCATCTCTGCTTTGGTTTATGAAAATTGGTGCTGAACACTGGTGACTGTTTCATGGTGTTACTATTTATTACCATCACTGTTCCTCTTACAGAAGAGTATCTCCTAGGCCTTAGTGTCACTTTTTTTCCTGACAGAGAAGGTTCATGGGTTGGGATAGGTAAATGCAGTCGCACATATTCAAAAAAATCAAACCAGCCAGACAGCTTTTCCTTGTGACTTTTTCCATGCTGGAATTTTCTGCATGGCCCCAAACACAGAAATTTCACTGTCTGATCCTTTTTGGTCCTCTTTTCAGAAAAGGCCTCAGAAAAATGGTAGCGTGTGAACGCCTGAGGCAACCTGCTGCAGTGGGTACTGCTGTGACCCCAGGTACCACCTACGAGCGCAGCGGTGCCATGTGCCTGGCCAGGCCTCCAGTGGCCCACTGCCAAGAAAATACAGGAACAATCTGCAGGAAAATTAAGCAATTCTTTTGTCTTCCTTCCTCAGCCAGTTTGAGCAACTGCAAATGTCCAAAGCAGAAAATCACTAGCAGCTGAGCAGCGTCACACAGAGCGACATCCTGGGAAGATTCACACCAAATCCCAGTCAGAACTGCCTCGTTTGTGCATAACCCTGAGGCCAGCTGGTAAACCTGGATGACTAAGGCCTGAGTTCATGCTTACTGAGTTTCACCAGCCTAGCTTTACTGGTACAGCATGAAGTCATCTTGCCAGTACAGTTTTGCTACTGAGAGCCCCAGGCTACAGACAGTTGTTCCCATAAAAGCAGCTTCCCCAAATCAGAGCGCATAGCACTCACAAAAGCCTTTCCTCAGCAACAGGGCAGTAACATGACAGCTGGCCTCTGGCAGACTAGAAGAGTTTGATGTCAAAGAGAGGCCTATATTTGTTTAGGGATTTTTTTTTTTTAGTCCAGCAAAACAAAAAGGGCAGCCCATCTGCAGCCAGAGACCAGAACTGCTTTAGACAAGCCACAGCTCCTTCTCAGGTTAAAGCAGTGTCTGGGTGGGGTGATGTAATTCCTGAGGATAGGAACGTGTAAGTCCCAAGCAGTTACTGCACATACTTGTTGACTGATGCACATATAAAATAATTATCCTTTGTAAACACAGTTTAGCACATTCTTGCAAATGCACACACTGAGCTACTGCTGACAAGTATGGAGTGGGGGATGCTGTTTTTTTCAAGCTGAAGAAATACAACACATACATCATTTTTACATGCAATTGTGACTGAAGGCAAATGGGAGCACATTTCAGCCAAAGTGAAATCCACATTAAAGATCATGGAAAAGTTGTGAACATTCAAGACAGCATGTGCAGTAAGAGCACACTACCTCGAGCAACACAGTTCCCACCCTCCCTTCACTGGAGGGAAGGTGTACACCAGTATAAGAAGTGTCTTTTTCCCTGCTCAGTTTATGTTGCCTTGGAATGGAATTAAATTAACTGGAGGCGCTAGGCGTAAATGGGCATCTTCAGTGCAGAATAACAGCGCCCACAGGAAGACTCGCAATGGCATGGCTATAAGGATCTAAATAAGAAGCTCCTGGGCAAGTCATGCATGAAGCTGGAGGAGCCCTTTCAGCCAGGCACTTGTCCAGTGCCAGGAATTACCCAGAAGAGGCCTGAGCTGCCTCCAGGATGTGCTGGCTGGGGTGACCACACTGTACCCCCAGGCACAGGAGCCATGGCCATCTGGCAGGGGCATTAAAAAAGGACCCTGCCTATGCCATGGCTGATAAGACAGCAGCAGTCCACACCCTGTGACTAGCAGACAAACGTGTAAACATTGAGAATGATGCAAGCAAGCAGGGTAACTTACTGGAACAGTTACCTTTCTTTAGTAATACCACTGTGGCATCGCAGTTGCTGTTATCATCCATTTCTGTGTTATTTGCTAAACCATTCACCATATTTGCCGAGTTTTTTGTCTTCCTTTCAAAGCAGTGATGTATGGTTGAGTTGTACCTGTACAAACAAAACAAACTCTAGATATATCTTTGCTTCTTCTGTGTGGATTTCTTGACACCCTTCCTTTCCTAGACTCATATACTGTGCGATTCAACTAAGGGAGGGAAGAAAATCCCTTTGGTTTGGAATCCAGCCACAGTATGCCTATGGTGCAATCTCTCCATACCCAAGGCTATGAAAAATACAAGACAGGAATCTGGAATGACATGTATGCTTACATGCTATGTGTAATTAACTTTCTGTATAGCAAATAAGGATTACTTGTCACTGTCCACATTTTTTTTATCACATAATCACAGTGAGCATGAGCTTTGTTTTACCTGTGACCCACCACAGGAACACATGACACGTGCTAAGTTCTGGCTCCATTTTGGGGAGAAAAAAAAATAAAAATAATTCTTACTTTGTTTCGAATAGGCAGGAGCTGACAGGACATGAGCCAAGATCTCACCATGATACTCAAAGGCAATGGAAGACCACTGTGAACACCTGGACGACAGGCCAACAACCCCCACAGCTATCTCCAAACAGGTCTGAAACATCTGCTCACACTATGGCATTGCTTTTAGAAAAAGAATCCAGTCTTGATTCAGACATTACAACTGGTTTGCTGGTCAGGTCATTGCTGCAAGGGTGAAGCTACCCTCCAGGTTAAATAAAAAATTTCTAGTTCACTTCTAGAAGAGAGATGAATTCTGCCTCATGTTCCCTTCAATCCAGTCTGGGTGTTTTGCTATTCTTACTGAGAATTGCTCTCGCAATATTTACGTTATTCATCATTTCAAAACAAATCTCAACTCTGACTTGTTGAGACAAGACCACTGGTGTGCTTGGCAGCTGGTAGGTTCTGTTGAATGTTCCAGTTTAAATCTGGGTTTCCTTTCTACTGACTTTTAAAAACAAGGCAGGAGGTGGGGAACCTAACAGCAGAGCAGGCTCACTTTGCTAGCATGGATTTGTGTGAAAGAAGTTACACAGGTCAGATGCTCAGAAAATCAATGTTGATTGTGCTGCAGTTTTATTGTGGGTCTCCATGAAAGCAAGAACAAATTGCTGTGGAGTTCTGCACCCATAAAGAGTAGACTGGAATCCCCCATGTTTTTATTTCTGAGGAGGGATATTAAAGCGAAATCAGAAGAGGCTGCTTGGTGGGACCCAGAGATGGAGTTGGTTCTCTGCTCTGCCACAGACTTGATGCATTAGCTTTGGTCAGTTCACACAGGGCAAGAGCCGCAAAGCATAGAATCCTTTTAGGGGGAAAAGACCTTTAAGATCATCAAGTCTGACAGTTAACCCTGCACTGCCAAGGCCACCACTAAACCATGCTCCTGAGTGTCACATCTACACGTCTTTTAAATACCTACTGGGATGGTGACTCCAGCACTGCCCTGGGCAGCCTGTTCCAATACTTGGTCACCCTTTCGGTGAGGTAGTTGTTCCTAATCTCTAGTCTAAACCCTCCCTGGCACAACTTGAGGCCGTTTCCTTTTGTCCTATCACTTATCGCTTGGGAAAAGAGATGGACCCCATCTCACTACAGGCACTTGCAGGTAGTTGTAGAGAGTGATAAGGTCTCCCCTAAGCCTTCTCTTCTCCAGACTAACCCCTCCCAGGTCCCTCAGCCATTCCTCACCACACTTGTGCTCCAGGCCCTGCACCAGCTCTGTTGCCCCCTTCTCTGGACCTGCTCCAGCACCTCAATGACCTAGAACTGAACACACGATTCGAGGTGCTGCCTCACCAGTGCCCACTACAGGGGGACAATCACTGCCCTGGCCCTGCTGGCCACACTATTGCTGATACAGGCCAGGAGGGCCAGGGCAGTGATCA